ACCCAAAGGATCATAGAATCCTTACATATAAATTGTTGCAAAGTGAATTTGAGTTTCCTAGGATTAATAGGTTAGTATTCTAGAATGCTCTTGTTAAATATTGTATTGATAGCTTTTGTTTTTTACATCACCTTCATTCCCCGATATATTTTTCTCTGCTTTCCTCTCAGAAAATCATAGCTTGTAACAGAGAGAGGGAAAAAAAGCAGTTTAGCTAAACTAACACATGAACCCAGCTTTGACAGTATCTTTGTTTCTAGAATACTTTTAAAAAGGATTATTTTCAAATTGAAAAGGAACAAGCTAAATACACCAAGTAGCAGCTAGACAGAATTTACTTCTTAAAAACTTTTAAATTAGACATAGTAGCAGAGTAGTGATTGTATATTGAAGAACTAGATCATAAATTATATAAAAAAGCTATGGATGAAGGTGATGCCCTTCAACAAAAAAAGTGAAATTTCCAGTAGGCGAAAGTCATTATGTGAATGCTTAATGATAATTTTGGAGTGTTATATATCTTTGCAGAACAGTACACTACTTTGATCGAACCGGGAAAAAATAATTTAAGTAAAATACGTCACTGTGTAACCAAAACAAGGTCTAAGCTTCTCCTCACTGTTATTGTAACATTTTTAATGTTCTACTTTAAGGGCATATTGTATCTGTTCCAAAGTGTTAGAAAACCAAAGTGCTGCTACTGATTATGTACCAATAACATTGGGAAAGAAGGAAGGAAAAGAAAGGAAGGGGGAGAATTTGTCTCAAGATTTATATCTTTACTCTTTCAGAAGGCATCCATTAGGAGTGGCAGTGACGTAATGCCCAAAAGTCCCCTCCTCCCCTTAGCCACGTGTTTGTTTTTTATCTGGCCTGGTTTCTTCTGGTCTCCGGTCTTGGATTTTCACCAACATCGTGGACCCAAACCTGAAGGAAGGAAGTGCGTAGGATGGGTTCAGGCCCAGAGGGGGTAACTGGGGTAGGATTGGGAAGGGGGGGCGATCCGGCTTCCCTGGGATCTGAGGAAGTCCCGGGACTGGGTCCCTGCCACCACCTCCTTCGGATTTTTGGTGTAGATCAAGGCCACTCCCCGGGTCTCCCGCTGTGCGCTCTGTATACATCCCAGGCTGAAGGGCTGGAGAGAGTTTCCTCTACAGGGAAAAACAGGTGTTCCCCTTCGGCAGGCGAGCCGCAGGCACCTTTTTGAGACCCTGCCCTATAGGGGCAGGAAAATGGCCCCAATCGGGCCCCACCCACCCCAGCCTTCCGGGACTGGGAGGGGAGGAGAAAAAAAAAGCGTCCTTGAGTCACCTCTTGGACTTAGCTCCCTCCCCTCCTCCCTAGCCCGTTCCTTTGCAAAAGCACAAAGAAATGGGAAAGAGATAGGAACTTGGTACCTGGGTGTTAGAACTCCCCTGGCCCGACTCATCACTATTATTCAAGCCATCCCCACCAAAGTACCACTCCCCAACCCCTGACTGCTACACAATCATCCCCTTCTCCCCAAATGTGCAGAAAACATATGTCTTCACCTCCAGAGAGAGAAGATGAACTCAGTTTATCCTTTCTGCTTTTTATTCTTCTCGACCCTCTTTTGATTTAGTATGCCTGGGAAAGATCAGTCCCCTCCCCTCCCCCCCCAAAAAAGCCCCGAAGCCAGACACCCACCCCTAGCCAGCCCTATTGAGGAACTCCGGTTGTGATTAAAATCAGAAAAGAACAAACTTTTACAGATTACTCAGCACAGAGGGTAAGTGTTCACCACCATACTAGCCTCATTGGGCCTGAGCTGGCTTGGGCCATCTGAATGTGAACCAGAGATTTATTTCTCTTTGTAACTTGTTGCTCTAAGACCTAAATGAAGCAAGCTCTTTAAAAGGGAGTCTTTTAAAATGGAAAACTATGTGCAATCACTGGCTTTCCAATCAAAGTCTGTTTATACATTGGGATAAATAACTAGCTGGGTCCAGGATTTTGCTTTTTGTTGTTGTTTAGGTCTCAATTTCCATCAATGAGGAATATTTGGGGACTGTTTTCCATGCATCTGGCCAGCTGAACAGGATAAAATTGATTGGCCCATTTTGTTAGTTTAATTACATTTAATTTAAGGTACTTTGGTGAAAAGAGCAAAGCAGTATTGCTGAGACGATGCTGAAAGGTGAGATTTGAATATCGTTCATTTCAAACAGGATTAGTTGTTACTGGGATCGCGGAGACTTTTTAAGCTTCGGTAGAAGTGTTAATTGGTTTTCTCCATGAATTCCACAATGCCCAGCATGGTGCTAGTGAACAAGTGCTTGCATGCCTTTATTTCTAAACTGAAGCAATAAACACTGAGATTTGGTAAAGGTGCTTATTCAGATTTGCTTATGTTTGAAAATTGCAGTTTGAATAACTGCAGGTGCATACTTATAAATATACAACAATTCAACATTAATGTACAAATTCCAGTTATTTCAAGTGAATCTTAAGAATGTGTTGTTTGAAATGTCACATTTAAATACACCTGTTTACTTGGTTTAGTTTAGAATTTTAAACATCTCTTGAGCTGTCACCAACCATCATCATTATAATGAATATTTACAGTTTTCTGTGATTTTTATCTTTACATTATATTTTCCTTTGATTTTAGGTATGCTCAGCACACTCTTTCAAAGTAGCAAAATCTCACTGTTTAGCACTGTCATTTCTTTACAACCTCCCACTTTTCTCCTATGTTGGCCAGGTTTCATTAGTGCAAACATCCTTAATTTTGTGTAAATCAAAATTCTGATGTAAAGAACTGTTTACCAGTGAAGAGTGCACAGAGAATAACAAAATCTTTAGGTAGTACTCTAAACTTTGCCTGAAGGCCTCGGACCACAATAATAATGGACATTTATATAGTGCTTCAAAGTTTTTGAAGCACCTTATAAATACTTCTTTTGTCCAGTGAGTTAGATACCAAGTTCATTTCCTGATATACACAAATATGGACAATTGTGGAAGGAAAATCTAGTTCACCAAATCATCAATCAACATTTTCATGAAACAAGATTTAGGAGAAATCATGAGCTTTTGAGCATAGTTGTTGTTTTTTTTAAATTTCATTTGCTATGCATCGGTGCCTGACACAGAATAAAAGGCATGTGTTTGGTTGTGTGGGGGCTGCAATGCATAGAACAAAAAAGAAGGGGGAGGAAAAATGAGCAATATAGAAAAGGCTACATATTTTCTGATGAAACTTTCTTTAGCCAGTTACTTTTTTTTCCCGTGAAATATATGGCAGACTTAAATGACAACAGTGTTGTGAACAGAACAGGCTCTTAATACAGTATTTAATTTTTCCCCAATGTTATAACGCTTTTCTCCCTCAATCCCCAGCTGGAACAATGTTTAAACTTTAAAGATTTAAACTTAAAAAAAACCCCTACAGTGCCTAGTAAGAATAAATACTATTTAATCAATGAAAAGTTGGGCAGCACATTTATACTTTCACATGTAATACAAATAAAAATGTGTGTATAAATATGGGCATATATGTATATAAACACACACATACTAGAATTCTGTAAACAGAAACATAAGGCTGTAATTTTTTAAACACTTCCCCTCCCCCTACTCCCCCCATCTACTCAAAAAGCCTGTACTTTAGAGATTAGAGAAATCTCATCTAAGCCACCTCATTCATCCCTAATTCTGAATGTAGGCAAAAATGGTCATAACCAGAGACAGGAAGAAAGTGAAGGTGTGTGGTTTTAATTAACTCGTGTAAATAGCTGGCATCTTGCTGGAAGGAACCTGAGCAAACCAGGAACCTTTGTGTAGTTAACAGAGAGGCAGCTGCTTCCAAAGTTGGGCAGCAAGTCACGTGGAAGGATCGAGTGAGCTCAAAGCATTCTTTTAAGATATCTTCTCCTTGAATTTTTTTTTTGAAGGGGAGGGGGAGAAAGGAAATGGATGTCGAAACCGGAAAAGGTGAATCACAAAAGGATGCATACTGTGATGGCTTTTCAGACTAGAATTCTAGGGGAAATCGCGGATCTTTTCCCAGGTTCGCAGGAACCAAGGCCAATGAACCGGTAAAGAAGATTGGCCGTTGTGGGATACCATAGTGACGGGGAGGTGGGAAGCTGGGTCGGCAGTGATTGATGTGCCTAGGAAAGAGTTAAAGAGACCCACATTTAAAAGCAAACTCGTCACTTATTATCTAACCATTAGGGAGGTCGTGAAGAGGGAACGGTTCGAGGGTGCGGAAGGTAAGGCCCTTTGTTGCCAATAAGTGGATGTGGGTCCCGGCCCACAAAGTTGCCCCGCCGTTGAGGTATGTGGAGGAGAAAGCCCTCAGAACCAGTGGGGCTGAGTTGCCCGCCCGGGACACCGGCGTCACGTGGCCGCTCCCTCCAGTAAAGAAGAGAGGGGGAGTAGGAGGGGGGAGGGCTTCTGAGTGAGTGCCAGCGCCGAAGAGCAGCGGGCCAGGGGTGAATGATTAGCTTTCCTTTCTTTCTCCCCCATCCCCCATCGGCAGCTGGCTGGGGCCCAGCGAGACGTAAGGCCAGGGAAATGCGTGTTCGCTAGTCTAGTTGTGCCCGATTGCATTTGCTAGTGTCTGTAGAAGGCACTAAGGTGGAGGAAGATTCTGGACTCTTCTTCCCCCTCCCCGGGAACGCCAAATCTGGAGACCCGAGAGTAATTCATACAAAAAGACTCGCCTCCGCGTGGGGGGGCGGAGGGAGAGGGCGGGTGCGAACGGAGAGGGAAGTCTAGGGATCGTCGTAAAACTCTGTGAGTGAGAACCGCTGACTCGTCTAGAGTCGGCCTGCCACCCACTCCGCTCAGAGAATTGGGTGGGGCGGGGCAAGGACGGATGCGCGCGTCTTTCCGTGCGCCTGGTGGGGTTGGGCGCACATTTCCCTCTGTCCCCGGGAGGGGGCTTGGTGGGGGAGGGGACGAATGGGCACGTTGAACCCAAGCTAGTGGCTAAACCGCGGGGGGAGCTGGGTAGCGGTGACGCGCGGCTGGCCCCACCTCCTTTCCCGGAGGGAGGAGGGGGAGGACAGTATATAAGTAGCGCTGCCGCCCTAGACGTTCTTTTTCGCAACGGGTTTGCCGCCAGAACACAGGTAGGAGCGAACGCTGCGCCCGCCAGGCCTGGTCTGGCGTGAGGCCTACAGCTTTCGGCGTCCCCTGAATCTAGTCCTTTTTCCTTTCCCGTCTCCTGTTTTTTTCTTTCCCTTTTCTGCCCCAATTGTAGTCTAAAAAGGTAGTACTTACGAGCCTTGGAATTTTCCCGGGACACGCCTCGTGCTTGGGCCTGATCGACTGCACGAGCTGCGGCCCCGCTGCCTAGCCTCGTGCTGGGGCGGCCCCCCGCGCACATTTCCCACGGTCTTCCACACCTCAGACCTCCCTTTTGTTTGGTTTTTGCTTGTATAAGTGATTGCTGACTAAGCTGAGCTGTCGTTTACCCAGGTTGGCGATCGGGCGATTACCCTTCTCGTACCCGTAGCATGTGTGGGTGGGGGCCTGCGCTGCCCCGCGCGGTGTCTAATGTCCGTGAGATCGAGTGTGTGTGTCTAGTTGGAAGGGAGGCGGTAGCGGAGCCGCGAGCTCCAGAGCCTACCCGCTTCTATTTCGTGGCACATGTGGCGCGGCCTCGGCGGTTCGAGGGGCGGGGCCGGGGAGCGGCAAGCGGGGGCGCGCCGGCGGCGGCGGGGCCGCGCTGAATGGCGACCGGACGGCCGGGGAGAGGCTAGGCCTGGTCTGGGGCCGCATGGCGGTAGGGGGAGGGGACGGGTGGGTGGGTGGGTAGGTACGTCTCGGGGGGATCAGAGGCAGGTGGGCAAAATAACCTTTAGGTGTCGAGTTATAGAGAATCTCAGGGGTGAGGGCCGGCGTTTGGGCCGGGACCGCCGCCTCTGGTCCGGCCAGACGGGTGCGTGAGCTGAAAAATGGCCGCTCCCCGGGCCTGGTGGAGGGAGTACAAAATGGAGGACACGGCGGTGGCTGAGGCGGGCGGGTGAGTCACCGGCACAAAGAAAGGGACCAGGGCCTTTCTGCCCCTCCCTGTGTAGTCTTCGAGGCTGGCCACGAGCACTGAGCCTCCGTGGGGCTGAGGCCGGCCCCCGCCCCCCTCCGGAACAGACAATGCCGCGGCCTGGGGGAGGGGCGCCGCCCGGGGAATTGGCCCCGTGTGTGGTGTGAGTGTGGTGCGCGTGTGTCTGGTGGGAGGAGATTGAGGCCTGAGCAGGAGCCGCTGCTGCCTGGGTTGGCACGCCGGGGCTGCCAGCCTGGCTTGGAATTTTTCGTAAGTGTTTAGGAGCTCAAATGTCTCCTTCAAAGGTCATAGGCTGCCTGCTGTTTGGCTGTTAATACAACCCTGTTTTCTTAAAAGTTTTTAATCTTTGCACAGGTGTTGTGAAAACCATCGCTAAACCTCCACAAAAATGGGCAAGGAAAAGACTCACATTAACATTGTCGTCATTGGACACGTAGACTCTGGCAAGTCCACCACTACTGGCCACCTCATCTACAAATGTGGTGGAATTGATAAGAGAACCATTGAGAAGTTTGAGAAGGAGGCTGCTGAGGTATATATAGTCTTTAGGGGAAAGGATATTGGGACATAATGACTCATGTGGTCAAATGGTTTTATGAAGTCAAGGATTTGTTAAATATTAAAATAAGGGTGCTCTCCACCTTTCATGGTTCTGATTACTGTATGGAAATTTTAATGGGTTAATAAACTATTAAGTTATGTAGGAGTACTTTTATTGACGTGTCAATTATGCCTTAAATGATTTGAAAAGATGTTTGGAAGATCCCCTATCACCTTTGAGAGTGTAGTGAGGAGTTCATAGATACAGATAGGAAGTGGGATTTAACTAAGGAATCTGTCACCTACTTAAGCAAAGTCAGTAAGGCCAAATTATTTTTATCCTGTAATTGAAATGACATACCAGCTTCCTTCCAGGAAACTTGTTTGATTCCAGTTACAGAGCTTGAACTTTCATTCGTTTGCAGATGGGAAAGGGCTCCTTCAAATATGCCTGGGTCTTGGATAAGCTGAAGGCTGAACGTGAGCGTGGTATCACTATTGATATCTCCCTGTGGAAATTTGAGACCAGCAAGTACTATGTGACCATTATTGATGCTCCAGGACACAGAGACTTTATCAAGAACATGATTACAGGCACATCTCAGGTTTGTAGTATTAAACATGACTAGGGACAATATTGTGGGAATAGGGGTAGATATTAGGCATCTGTACCAGGTGCTTGTTTAGTCAATGGGTTGTAGAGGTTGCGTTAACAATGGGCTTTAGACTTATTTACCAAGAGTGGCCTTTGGTTTAAACAAAGGGGCTTTTAGTGTTTACAGGACTTATTTAGTATTCTCCCAACTTGTTTTAATAGGCTGACTGTGCTGTCTTGATTGTTGCTGCTGGTGTTGGTGAATTTGAAGCTGGTATCTCAAAGAATGGGCAGACCCGTGAGCATGCCCTTCTGGCATACACGCTAGGTGTAAAACAACTGATTGTTGGTGTAAACAAAATGGATTCCACCGAGCCCCCCTACAGCCAGAAGAGATATGAGGAAATTGTCAAGGAAGTCAGTACCTATATTAAGAAAATTGGCTACAACCCTGACACAGTAGCTTTTGTGCCAATTTCAGGTTGGAATGGTGACAACATGCTGGAGCCTAGCTCTAATGTGAGTTTGACTATAAGTAATTTGTTTAAATAATTTAACATACAGTGAGCCACCCGAGTGTTTTAATCACTAAGTTAAATTTCTCTTGCAGATGCCTTGGTTCAAGGGATGGAAAGTCACTCGAAAGGATGGCAATGCTAATGGAACTACACTGCTTGAAGCTTTGGATTGCATCCTGCCACCGACTCGTCCAACTGACAAGCCCCTTCGTCTACCCCTCCAAGATGTCTACAAGATTGGCGGTAAGTAATTTTATGACTAGGTAATTAAATTTCTTGGAGTGCTTGGTGAAAAGCAAAAAAACCTGCCTTTTTCCTGCTTTTATAAATGAGTTTTACTTTACTTTCACTAGGTATTGGTACTGTACCTGTTGGCCGAGTGGAAACTGGTGTTCTAAAACCAGGCATGGTGGTCACCTTTGCCCCAGTCAATGTTACAACTGAAGTAAAGTCTGTTGAAATGCACCACGAAGCTTTGAGTGAGGCTCTACCAGGGGATAACGTCGGTTTCAATGTCAAGAACGTGTCTGTCAAAGATGTCCGCCGTGGTAACGTGGCTGGTGATAGCAAGAATGATCCACCTATGGAAGCAGCTGGCTTCACTGCACAGGTATCAACGTTAAAGATTTTGATGCAATATAGCCAGATCTATTGGGGGAATAGAAAAGGGCTTAATTTGCCTTAATGTTCATTTTTCTCTTTTTCCTTAAGGTCATTATCCTGAATCATCCTGGCCAAATCAGTGCTGGCTATGCACCTGTTCTGGATTGTCACACTGCTCACATTGCTTGCAAGTTTGCTGAACTGAAGGAGAAGATTGATCGTCGTTCTGGTAAGAAGCTGGAAGATGGCCCTAAATTCCTGAAATCTGGTGATGCTGCCATTGTTGACATGGTTCCAGGCAAGCCAATGTGTGTGGAGAGCTTCTCTGATTATCCTCCTCTGGGTAAGTATTTTAACATTTAACAGTTCCCTGTTGCACAAACACCAATGAGTAACTTAGCATCCTGCTGGATAAAAACTAATGAATCCTGTTTACTAATTGCAGGTCGTTTTGCTGTTCGTGATATGAGGCAGACTGTTGCAGTTGGCGTCATCAAGGCAGTTGACAAGAAGGCTGCTGGAGCTGGCAAGGTTACAAAATCTGCCCAGAAGGCCCAGAAGGCTAAATGAATATTCTGTACAATACCTGCCACCCCAGTCTTAATCAGTGGTGGAAGAACGGTCTCAGAACTGTTTGTCTCAATTGGCCATTTAAGTTTAATAGTAAAAGACTGGTTAATGATTACAATGCATCGTAAAAGCTTCAGGAGGAAAGGAATGTTTTTGTGGACCATTTGTTTCGTGGCAGTTTTAAGTTATTAGTTTTTAAAATCAGTAATTTTTAAATGGAAACAACTTGACCAAAAATCTGTCACAGAATTTTGAGACCATTAAAACAGTTTAATGCGAAACTTGTGTGTTTTTTGGGTCAACCATTATTAGAATTCAGTGGGGGTGGAAAGCATTTAAAAGTAACCTGGCACAAATCCATTGGCTACAGAATCTTAGCTAAAATTTTTGGGCACAAAAATAACATGGGCAAGTGAGTTAACTTGGCCTAACAATTTGTAATTTTTGTTGAAATTGTTTCACCTTTGGGCAAAGCTGATAAAGATGTATTAACCTGACTTGTTAGGGCTGTATTTTTGCCTCTTAATGAAAATAATATTTGGGTTTTTTTTGTAGGTTAAGGGGGAAAGTGCTATAGAATAACTTTTTTTATAATGCCCTTCCAAAGCCTTTGGCTTGGTTCCCTTTTTCTAGCTAGACAATCTCTAAACACCAGCAAGTCATCTGGTAAAAGTATATAATTGTAAGGTTAGGTGGATTTTTAAGGAAATTGGCATTGTGTCTTGTAGAAATTTTTATATAGTCCATTTGAGATAAATTCACTAACACTGAAATGGGAGTTATTTCTGTGGAGTTTAGCATTACCTCTTAAATTTTAAATTGTGCCAAATAGAAGTAATGCTATCTGGGAGGGGGTGTAGTGAAGATAATCTAGTGAAATAAGTTAAAGCAATGAATGTCAGGTGTGCCACTAGCAGAAAACTGCCATGTTAGCTGCTTTGTTTCTTCATATGTGGTGTAATATAGTTAGTACATGATAGTAGAGTTCCCAACTTCTAAGATTAATTTTAGCACTCAAAGTTAGCATTCTTTCTATGGAGTTTCATTACCTCTTACAGTAAATTACCTCAAGTTTTTTGTTTTTTAAACCAAAACTTGGAATTTTAGAACTAAAGCTGATAGATGGGGAAACATGGCTTCCTTGGAAGATGACTATCCCCATTATGGATATATTGGAATTTTCCAGCTTTGTTAAACTGCCTCAAAACAAACCCTTAAATGTCACTACTAGGTGTATTGGGTGGATATTTTTAAGGGTTTAAAATTTTCTTCATTTAAATGAATGTGCATGTTGCATTGTTGGGGGGGGACCTATGGTAGGTGCTATGTTAGAAGATGGAATATAGCTGGGAAAGGGGCACTTCAGAAAAATGTAATACACAAGGTAAAATTAAGCTGTTTTCAAAATTACAGCAAGTGGCATTGTCTTGGGTTTTTTATTTTGCAGAAAAGGAATACTTGTTTTTTAATTGTGTTGAAGTTTGACAAAACCCCATTGGTTTAATTTTTATTAGGAAGTAGCATTTAAAGTTTTCTACTAGAACTGGATTGGAAAAATGCCAGGACTTGTATTAGGGGGCAGTATATTCTTATTTTGATATGAAATCAAAAAAGCCCAGGCCCAATTCAAGCAAAATTGCCAATTTTTTGAAGACTTTTAGTCTCTTCAGTTTGGGGTAACTTCTTAAAATTTTTGTTCATGGCTAATTAGCTAATCTGGAAAACGTATTTAATTTGCAGTAGGTATTAGTCATACATTAGTGTTAAGTAGAGGTATAATGGTACCTATGGTGGTTAGGGAACCTCTTTTTAGTTAAAAGATCTGACCCAGGCTAGATGTGACATGAGCAAGGTTTAGTAACTCCCCTCCCTTACAGCCCTCAATTGTTCAGTTGCCACACATATATGGACAAATGGAGTTTGCTTAGGATGAGTTCCTCTTTGATAAGTCATTTGCCCTAATGGTTTTATGTGGCCAGTACAGGTTTGACTGGCACCACAATGTGGACAGGTTAATTTTTAAAACATGCCCAATAACTTGCCAAGGTTGGCTGGAGTGAGTAGCTCACTAATTTCTCAATTGTTCTGGATTCTACATATTTGTAGTTTAATGCTTTCTCAACCATGTAGTGTCTTAATTCTCTCGGGAAGCAACTGGTGCTTTCAAAGTTTGTCCAGGCTGACTGGCATTTTCTTCTGTAAATAAACTGCTTAGGCAAAATGGTTTTCTAGAGGCTTCAAGTATGACTATATCACTTTGGGCTATTCAAGTGAAACCATAACCTGGTTCTTTGTGTTGGATGGTTTTTTTTCCTTTACTCAATTAAATTGTCCTACAGATCTTTACAATTGAGTATTGATACTAATTTGACCAGCTTCTATATTGTAGTTAACCCGTGTTGTGTTATCATTATTAAGGAAAGCATAGGCTGACTAAAACAGTAAGATTTGGGAAAATGGCCGTCTTCAAATAATTGTAATATGTAAGAACTGGGAAATGACCTGTCTTATTCTTAAATTGTCCTTTGGGAACAATAGAATGGGTACTCAATATTCATTAGATTACTAGAGCCATAAAACTCCCACAAGCACAGGATTGCTAAGGAATCATTGCCAGGTTCCATTACTGCAAGGTACGTTTTTCTCTTGATATTTGGAAGGTTTTTAGTTTCTAAGCCAGTAAGCTGTAAGCATGAATCACTGGGTTAACTGGTAGTTTGATATAGTTCAAATATTCCTCTTGTTTACATTCGTCATATTTGGAATTCAGAGAACGTTATCAGGTTCCCATTTTTGTGATGCCTAATATCTTAAAATTTGGCTAAGGACAATACTTAGGTACTGTACAGCTCTAATACTTAACATGCCGTCTAAAAGTACCATCTCTATGGGACATATTTAAAGTAGAAAAATATTTGCCTAATTATCAGTAGAAAGGTTGACTTTCCTGCTATATACATCAACAAGGTAAAGGAGAAGTGGTCAGTAACCTCTTTAACCCCTAGTGCCATAAGTGGAATTAAGCAATGCTTAGTAAAGTACCAGTAACAGGTCTGAGATAAGGAAAAAAAAATAAGGGTATGGTACCATATAGTAAAATGCAACCAGAAAATTGAAAAAATAAGTCCAGATTAATCCATGAAGGTTAAAAGGTCAAACCTAAGTAAAATTGGAAAAAAAGTTACTGAAACTTCATGAAGAGGTGATCTGATGTCAGGTTTATTCTGGAAAATATTTAAAAGGTATGTCAAAATCAGAACACAACCCAGACTCTTACCTCTTGATAGAATTTGAAAATGTCAATGACCAAGGCACTGTAAAATCATAAAATACCTTTTGCTTTGTTAAAGATTAAATTTTATTCAGCATAGTTTGTATGAATTATATTTAAATACTTTGAGATAGTAATCTGTACATCTATGCATGTGGTAAGAATGACCAAAATACCCTACTCCCTAACTAACCATTTTACAAGAAATTTCATGTGATAACACATTTTGCTGAAATTACATGGTTCAATTTGAAATATGTATAACCTTAGCGGTAACATGGTAAGATTGATTACAAATGATGCAGTTGTTCTCTATTAATTTTCAAAGTCCTTTTCCATATACAGCCCTGCTCTGAATTTAATAGTTTTGGATGATGAAGAAAAACCGTTTGTCTAGCTGAACTGGTTACTTGGGAGACAAACCATTAACTGAGGGGATAGATATTGAATAGTGTTAGACAAATGTGAGTCATGATTTGACTTACAGGATCACCCATTTAGAGCTGGAAGGAACCTAGTATATATGACTAAAGCCATTTTAAACCATTGGGATAATCTGAGGTGAAATTTTGTGTAACATAAATGGTCATACCCGGATTTATGTTTGCATATATGTATTTAAATTTAGCTTTGCCATAAGCTACCCTGACTTAGTGGATAGAGCATTATAGTGGAAGAGCCATTACCAGCCAAGTTCAGGATCGGTTTCTGACATAACAATGTGTGTGGAGCTGGATAAGTCACAACCTCTTAGAGCCTCAGTTAAATTTTTTAAGATGAAATCTTAGTATAGTTGCTGATCAGTAGTAGTTTTCTCACCAGGAGTTCTTTGTACCAGTTAGATCTGGAACTCCCCAACAAATTTATGTAGTAAAGTGGGAGCATACCTTACTCTGCATTTAAACATGCTGACAGGTTAGAAAGTCTTACCTAGTCAAATATAACTTAAGGCAGTCATGCATTCCCAGTTCATAATCTCTTTATATGTTAGGAAAAGTGATAACTTCATTAGGTTATCTTGTATATTAGCAAAGAATTTTAAAATTAAGTCCCGTCTTGTGCTCCCAGTTAAGACAGCAGTTAAGAGTGTCAGTTATATGTGAAGACCTTTCAGTTTAGCATTTTCTTCTCCATATTTAATCATAAGTCTTTGTTTTTTCATCAACCAACAGTCCTAGGACAACATACCCAACAAAACTTGTGTTCGTGAAATGTATTTCCTTGGAATGGTAGCAACCTTTGAAATGTTTAGATTTGATCCTCTGTTTTGGAAGTTAAGATAGTGTATAGCTCACTTAAGTAAAAATAACCAGTACATTTTAGGTAAGAAATATCTGGAGAGTTATATTAATTTACTTAGAGGTGAAAGCTGCTTAACTTGAGGAAAATAAGAACCAGGAAGTGTGGTACTAGAACAAGTAGCGTAAATGATGCTCAGCAAGAAGGAATGTACATGAAAGTATAATTCACCCAGTTAGCTGTGTTTACTGTTGCTATCAATGTGTATGGATGGATGTGGTAATTTCACTAACTGATCACTTGCATTGTTACTACCCCTTAATTACCTCTCCATCCTAGTTCAGTGACCGTGGAGGTGGTAGCAGTGAAGTCTTATGAAGCATTTGGAGAGGCACGTTTTAGAAAACCTTTTATCCTAGAGAGCTATTGTTTATTATGAGATAGTTGTATTATTTGTATCCATTAACCTCATGCCTCTTGAGTAAAAATGTTTCGGTTGTTTGGGACCTTTTCATGTTCAACAGATTTGAAAGGCCAGAGGATGAATAAAAGTAATTTTGCAGCCTGTTAAAAGTTTAAAGAAATAAGTTTCTTACGCCTTTCCCCAGTATTTCAGTACCTGTTGTTTTCCTTTCAGATATGTAATTGTATAGGCTCTGTGAAAGAATTCTTATAAAAAAATAAAAGCAGATTTGCTTTCTCAAAAAACAAAACATATAAACCATGATGATGCTTATGTGTTTGCTCACCCAAACTTTTTGTATTAAAAAT